AAAAGAAAATTATTTGAATTATTCTAATATTAATTGTTTATAAATAATTATATATATATATATATTGAACGTTCTCATTTTTATAAATAATTCATTTAAAACACAGTTAGATATTATTACGGGAGCAACGTATACCCTTGCCGAGATGTACGATCTAACTGTAAAATGTGCCCTTTGGTTACGTCAACAAGGAATTCAAACTAACGACGTGGTTGCATTATGCAGCCCAAATATTATGGACAGTTTTGCACCATTCTTTGCTACTTTTTGCGTAGGTGCAATATTTACTCCTTGGAATCCCGACATGGACACACGTGAGTGTTTTCTTTTTTTTTTGGGGGTGGGGGTGGGGGAATTTTCTAAATTAATTATTAAAATGTATATTCAAAAATGAAATCCATTGTATGAACTTACTTTTTTTTTTTCTTCGTGTAAACTCGTATATAAAATTACACGACCAATTTTGTCAAATAATATTTTTATATTATTATGCAATAATACAAATTGTCGATAAAAAAAAAAGAAACAGAAAAATAATAATATTATACAGGTAATCCCTCCTATAAATGCAATTTTGTACGAAACCGTTTTGTGACCTAGATTTGTGTGTTTTTTTTTCTTTTTAAATAATTAAAATAATTAAAGGTGTTATAACGAAAACAGTTTTATATAATATCCTGTTATAGGAGGTTTACCTGTATTAAAAAAAAAAAAAAAAGAAAAAAAGAACCCATAAATGGATATCATTTGACTAAGTAGATTTTTGTATAAATTGAATCAAAATATTTGAAAATTGGATTTAATTATTAGGAGAGGCACGTTACTTCATGAAATTGTCAGGTGCAAAAATTGTCTTTGCTGGTGAAAATTCGGTTAATACGATAATGGAAGCAGCAAAACTTGATAATAATAATATCAAGATTGTCGTATTAGGTGAACATCCTGATGCATTACCATTTTCTAAAGTGGTGGATGGTCATAAGAAATTCGACGTTGACAATTTTCAATGTACACCTATCGATAACATTAAGGATACTGCGACAATACTTTATTCGTCTGGTACAACCGGTCCATCTAAAGGTGTTCAATTGTCGCATTTCACATTTTTGTGTCATTTGATCATGCCCGGTGGTTTGAACACCGATGGAAGACCACTATGGTTATCGTCATATTTTTGGATAAGTGGAGTATTATTAACAATGAGTTGTCTAGTGCATTATTGCAAAAGATTCCTATATCCTAAATTTGACGAAGAAATGACCTGTAAAATTATCGAAAAGTATAAGGTAAGATTAAACATTTGTATATATGTTTACAATATGCAATCACATTTTATGCAATATTATTATAATATTATTTATTATGGAAATTTTTGAAAATATTTTCTTTTCTTTTTTTTCTTTTTTCTTATCGATAGTAAAGAAAATGTTGACAATATATTATATTAATTAATACTCGTATAAGTTTTTTTTTTTTACAAGTAACAAATATTTATTTCTTTTCTTAGATCACATGGGTATTTTTATCACCGAGCATGATTAACAGAATACTCCATGCGGGATATTTTCAAAAGTATGATATGTCCTCTATTACCAGAATATATATGGGAGGTGCTAAATTTAGTGAAGATAGTCAAAATAGGCTTAAAAAATATATACCAAATGCTATTACAATACAAATGTTTGGTAAGAACGAAGATTATTATTTAAAGAACGTTTACAATACAAATTAATAAATAACACAAATAATAATTATTTTTTTTTAGGAATGACCGAACTTGGTGGTATTTTAACAGCACAACGACCCCATCACAAAGCTGGTACTGTAGGAACGGTAGTAAGAAATTGTCAAATTAAAATAATTGACTTAGAAAGTGGAAAAGCATTGGGCCCAAACAAGACCGGTGAACTTTTAGCAAAATCGTTGATGGTAACTAAAGGTTATTATAATAATCCTAAAGCAACTAAGGAAACGATAGATGACGATGGTAAAGAACAAAAAATATATACATATATTTTATTATATAATATATATCGAGAGAGAGAGAGAGAGAGATAGATCGAGTGTAACAAAATCTTTTCGATCATTTCAAAGGGTGATCTAA